TCTTGGCCAGCCTCGCCTGTTGCTGTGGGGCCGCAGTGGCTGCCCATTGCTGGGCCAGCTCCAGAGGCCACGGCCTGAGCGCCTCTCCGTGCCTGGGCTGCGGCCAGGGACCCCTCAGACTGCCGCTCTCTATGAACGCTCACTGCCTGCCACGCTGCCAGCCAGAGGCTTCTGCAGGCGGAGTCTGCCTTTAGGGAGGCCGTCCCTGCCTGCAGGGCTCCCAAGCGTCCTCTGTGCCCTGTGTGCCCCTACCCGCCCACACACAGGTCTGACCACCAGGGGAATGGAAAGGTGAATGTGGAGCAGCTGCAGAACCTGCAGACCATGGAGGCATAGCCAGAGCTGTTGGCTGACAGCAGATTTGGTGAAGATTTGAGGGCAGAACTGCCCACAGCTCTGAACTGGGAAGAGTCATCGTCATCCACATGGGACGGGGCTTCCAGGCACAGCCCTCTCTACTGCGCTTTGGGATCCTGCTACAAGCTTTTTGTTGTGTGTGTGGGGAAGGGAGCCTCCCAGTGGCCACAGTGGCTCATGCAGAAGAGGCCCTGGGGAGGGGAAGGGTGGAGGGCAGGCCAGGGGCCTAGAGTGTTTTCATTTTTCCTGAGAACTTAGTAGGGCATTCAGTTATTCATTCACACAACAAACACTGATGCCTGCTGCGGGCTGGGCCCTGTTCAAAAGATGCTTGAATGAGACGCTGACCTGGCCCCCAGGGAGCGGGGCACACATGTAATTCCCTTCAGAGCCGACAGACATGACAGCTGGGCCCAGCACTCTGGCCTTCCTCCAGCCTCTAGCTGAGACCTGCACAAATCCCTAGAGCGAATGATGGCTCCTCAGAGAAGGACCTTGGCCAACACCCAAGGGGACATGTGGCCTTGCACCCAGGGGTGAAATTTAAAGGTGGCCAAGGAGGCAACTGGGAAAGGACTGGACCTGTGAGGAGGCAGCTGGCCATGAGGAAGGAGAGCCTCGGGAAGCTCAGGGGATAGCGTCTCACCCAGATGGGAGACACATCTATCTGCCTGTGTGGTTTGGCTCTTGCTGTTCTGTGGGGGCGGGGGGGGGGGGTTTGCAGTGTCCCTGCTCAGCTTCCCTCCCTGTCTCCTCTAGGGCTCCATCTGAAGGGCTAATGCTGACGAATGGCGCTCAATCGTCATTTCATTAGGTGGAAACAGTTGTTACTAGGTTGGCCTTCAACCCCCTCCCTCAGTGTCTGTAAAGCACTGCTACTCAGAGTGTGGTCTGGACCAGCAGCATCTGCATCATCTGGGAGCTTGTTAGAAATGCAGTCTCAGGCCCCTCCCTCATCCCCCTAAATCAGAACCTGCATTTCAACAAGACTCCCAGGTGATTCATGCACACGTGAAAGGTTGAGAAGCAGTGCTTGAGGAGATATACAAAACCTGGTTCTCAAAAGGTCAGTTTTGGTGAGTGGCATCAATTTCCAGGTCAGACTTACCGCAAGCTACTCTGAGACCAAGCAGATTCCCCCCTTCCCTCCCTCAGGAAAGTGGCATTATGCTCAATTCATTCAAATTAAAATATTTTGACTAGGTCATACTTAAATGACTCAAAATTTAAGAGGTACAAAGAACAGAAGTGAAAAGCTTCCCTCCCACCCGTTCCCGGAGGCAACCTGTGTTACCAATTCCAAGAGGCTCACCTGTCTTGCTGAGAATCCACTGGGTTACTCACGCCTTCCCTCAGGAAATGAACTTTTCCTGCCGCCTGCAGTCAGACCAAGTCTCCTCTGTCAGATGCAAGAGAATATGCTGGGCTAGGGAGCCGGCTGGCTCGCTTCTCCCTCTGCAGTGGCTGAGGAGCCCCAGCGAAAACGCAAGGGGCGGGGTCTAGAACTCAATCACGGTTGTTGAAACCAGCTGGCAGCCCAGGCCTGCAGTGCTGCCCGTCACCCAGCAAGCCTGGGTGCTGTGTGAGCACCTGCCCTGACTCGAGGGAGCACCCTCTCTCGGAGGACTCTGGTTCTCCACACAGAGCGGGGAGTAAACATCCTTCCACTGGGGCCTTTGGACAAGAGGGTTGGAGGGGCGGAAAGGTCTCCGGCGAGGCTGGCCTCTGGGGCACAAGGGCATGGTCCCCAGAACTGGACCCCTTCTAGATCAAGCAGCTCCTCCCCTGGGCTGCTAGGTGACCTGTTAGCAAGCCCAACCTGCTGTCTGAAGAGAAAGTGATTTGCTGTGGTGTTTCACTTCCTCTCTAAGGCTAACCCTTGGATCTGATAACACACCATGTTACTTATATGTTCGGGAGTGAAAAGGGCAGGGGTCACGGCCGCTGAGGAGTTTTGGTCTGGTTTCTTTTAACCTGCTTTTGGAATCTCTTGGCAGCAGCCGTAACACTTGGGGACAGCTGTGCTATTTGTTTTATACTGGAATGGAAATGTCTCCCTATAGCTACTCCTTCAGTCAGTAAATATTTATTGAGTGCCTATTGTGTCAGGTGTTGGACTAAATGCTGGTGACACAGTGGAGAGCAGCACAGAAACGGTCCCTGCCCAGGTGCTCAGAGTCTAGGGGTCACACATCAATCACAAACGGGATGGGGTGCTTTGAGAGTCCTCAGTGAGGAGGGGCCAGGTTTCCACAAGGAAGTGACACACAAGTTGAAGTCAGAAAGGTTAGTAGCAGTCTAACTAGGTGATGGGGGAAGCATCCAGGTCAGGGAACCACATGGAGAAAAGACGTGAGAAAGAGCAGCTGAGGAACTGGAATGCAGACAGTGTCACCGGAGCAGCTTCTGTGAGGCTTTCATCAAGCTGACGTTCTTTAATTTTAAGGGTTGCCCCTTTAAACTTACTGCCATGGAGGACTTAACCTAATTGTTTCTTCAAGTCCAGCAAAGCTTTCCAGGTGGCCTCTCCCCTACACGTCAGAGGCCCCATGCTCAGGAAGCCAGACTGGCCAGTGGCCCCCATCAAAGCTTCTGGATGGTGTCACACACAGCCAGTTCCCATGCTTTTGCACAGCATCACCCCTGCCCGCGTTTTTGCATAAACTTGGTGAATGAGTGGCAGGTTCATTAATCTTACAGAAACTGGCTTTGAAGTGGGAAGAAGAGAAGCAGGAACTTGAGCACTTTCCAAACTTGGGAAAGCCCCTTCCCCTCGGTGCACCTCATCAGGAAGATGATCATGCTAGCCTCTCAAGATCTTTCCATGCTGACATTTCAGTATCACAAGAATTGTCTATGCTTATGTTCAAGCCCTGGCCTAAAGACATCTACCTATTCCACGCCTTTGGAGTACCACGATGCTGGCCAATGGGAAAGTTTTAAATTGGGTGCTATTAATGTGACATCATAGGGACCAGCCATTGAAAGAGCAAAGTGCGGGCTTCCCTGGTGGTGCAGTGGTTAAGAATCCGCCTACCAGTGCAGGGGACACGGGTTCGAGCCCTGGTCCGGGAAGATCCCACATGCCCCGGAGCAACTGGGCCCATGCACCACAACTATTGAGCCTGCACTCTAGAGCCTGTGAGCCACAGCAACTGAGGCCCGCGCACCTAGAACCCGTGCTCCGCAACAGGAGAGGCCACCGCAATGAGAGGCCTGTGTGACGCGGCGAAGAGTAGCCCCCGCTCACGGCAACTAGAGAAAAGCCCGCGCGCAGCAACGAAGACCCAGCACAGCCAAAAATAAATAAAATAAATTTATAAAAAAAGAAAAGCGCAAAGTGCCCTTTACTCCTGATGGCAGTGGTCATCAGGACTGATCAGTCACGGATGCCTTTTTGTGCCCCCCAAGCCCATCAGTTCCTTTCTCAGTGGCTAGCTGACCCCTGGGGATAAAGGGGGGAATGTGACTTCCTCCAGGTGTCTCTGAGTACCCCAGCTAGGGTCTGCAGTGCCCTGGGAAGTCCTTAAATCACCCCATTTGGAATGGCATCTTGCATGTCTGGAAAAGGGCTCCACTTGGTTCTAACCTGCCCCCCACCTCCCCAAGTGGTACAACTCTCCTCAGAGCATATTCTCCAGTGGACCCAAGAATGCTCTCTACAAAAGACACCTTTCTTTCAGCTGTTTCCCCTTAGGCCAGCACACAGAATTAAAGGGGGGAGTTATCAAGCATTTTCTGGGTCCTGACCAGTATATGTATTTTCTGACATTTTAATTTGGTTATAAAACAATAAAAGGTGTTAACTTTAAATGTGTCCTGATCTTTTCTCCTTCATATTTTCATGGATACCTGGTGTTTTAGAGGAAAATGTAAAGAAGGCAAGACCAAAAGAGGCAGACACAAGAAACAAATAGTGAGCAATATATTACTTTCCTTACTGTCTTGCAAAGAAATTCAAATGAAAGGAAACTCTTTAAATGAGCAAACATTAAAGGACTAGGAAGGCACTGATAAAACCTGGTCCTTTTCATTTAATGAGTATAATCTGAAAAAACTCTGGAAAGCATTTGGAATCGTTTTTTTCTTCTAGTAGCTTACTAAATTCCCTCAAAATGATATAGATGTGAAGACATGCACTGCAGTCTTTTTTATAATAACATTTCAAACAATTTCTGCCCAACAATAGAGGAATGGTTAAGTAAATCAGCTCACTTTTCCCCATACCCCCCAGCAGGACTCACCCTGCATCAGGACTGAACCCTCCCTTCCCACTTAGAGAAGTTCCTGAAAGGACCAGGGAGGTTGGGAGAGGGGGTGGGGTGTGTAAACCATGAACGTGAGCATCTTCACTGGTGGTCAGAGAAAGGGTTCAGAGGTGGTCACTGGGAGAAGGAGGCAAAGCTATCACCTCAGCCGCTTCTTGGCTTCATGTGAAAACATCTGGTCCAGAGCCCAAAATGGGATTCAGGAGGCCTGGGCCTCCGCGATTGGTCACAGGTCACCACCTACTATCTGTAAAAGGGGACCTGAATTCAAGCTCTCAGATCCCCTTCTGATCTAAAACTGATTCTTTTCTAAAAGTCCCAATCTGATCACATCGTTCCTAGCTAAAACTTTCAAAGGCTCCCCCCAACTGCTATTAGTATCAAGGGCAAACTGTAATTGAGCAAGACCCTATGTGGCCTTCCCAGGACAGAATGTCCTCCACATGCCTCCTGTCTGTAGAAAAACTTTAGCTTCCTAGGCTTTCCCCCAGTTCCAAAGAATAAATTTCATCAGAGAAGTGAGAAAACACAGAAAGAAAGGAAAACAGTCAAGTAAGACAAACTAATAGCTAAACTAAGTCAAAGACCTTTAGTTCCTCCTCAAGGGCTATAGATAACATTCTGAGCCACATCCTTTGAGCCGTTTTGCAGATAATGAAACCCTCACCAGGTGGAAGAAGTGAACTGTATGCTGCCCACAAGCACGCAGAC